TGTATGCGCGAGTGTAACGATGCTAAGCCAAGCGAGGCAAACGAATTTAGGACACCCCTAGATAATGGGCGGGTTGACCTTTGAAAAGCACTGGGTATATTGGTCTTCGCGGGCGGTCGGTATTGTTAACCGTTGAAGCCATCTGGTGTAATTGTGTCGACGAGGCCAGCTGTGCCATAAATTTACTTAGAATTTGCATATGTGAAAGGGGCGAAATTTCCTTCACTATACATGGCCTTATAACTAAATCGCATGCATGACCTTATAACCAAACTATATGCATGGACTTATAACTAAACTATATGCATGGCCATATAACCAAACTATATGCATGGCCTTATAACTAAGCTATATGCATGGCCATAGAACTAAATAGCTTAACGGGCCGAAATTACTTACGAGCCGCACGACAAAGAGCCGGCAATATAAACTAATTGGAAGTAAGGGTTTAGAAGGCGAAAGTGGAAGCGTTTGCATTATAAATACATTTTATTGGGAACAAAGGAGATGGAAGAAATATAAATAGTGGTTGCGCGCCCCCACGTCGGTGCGGAACCCAAGGACAGAATTCCCGCTTGATAGTTCCCGCCGTAGTTATCATCGAGGAAGGTTGTGTTGATCACACGTTCTATACAGATAAGAGTCTATATATATGTGTCAGTGTGCGGCAGCGTGCGCGCGGTTTAGGGGGGCCTACATGTGTGTTGCAGAGGAGCATTTGCACGGCATTTACAGGAAATTGTCGGCAATAATAGGCGAAAGAGAGTAAAGAAACATTAAGACTTTGGTAGTAAATAGATTTCATATTTATTTAGCATTATATTTTATTGAAACGCTGCAAGTGCCTGTGGTGTTGTTCGAGTGCTCTCGCACCTTTATTTAGACTGTGTAGTAATTCTCATTACTAGACCCCGATAAAACAGGCAGAAAGTATTTTTAAGTTGTTTTTATTATTATTTAATATAAACGTAATTATCACAGACAGAAAGTTAGCCTGTACCGACGCGTGGGCTATCTCGGGCAGCGGCTAACTAGCTGCTTAATATGGGCAACCGTGGCGAGCGTAAAAAAAATTATATAATATACTTATCTATCACATAAAATTGGGCGTTTGGTCGACACATTTTATTCAGATAATAGATAATAGATCTTATATATAGCATTTTATTATAAAACAGTGCCTACATAACGATGAAAATATGGATATATAGAACGATAGATCTGCATCAGAGCTCTGCTAATTTGGGGCGTTTTATGAATTTTGTAATGTGGGCGTTTTGCTAGGGGTCGTAATTTGGGCGGCCGGTATTCGGTATGAAAAATGGCCTAGATTAGGCCCTGTCGGGGGTTTCGTCTCGTCGTGGGTGCGTCAACCGTATATTTATCCTCCCCCCCCGCCATCTGCTCGTGCGTTTTGCGCATGCGTCTCTATCTTCCCTTTGTCCTCAGCAGGATGTATGTAGCAGATGTGTGTCACTCTTTTTCTCATATGATTCCTACATGTAATTAAGTTATAATGCTGGTTCCTCTCTCACGCGATGGCAGGTGATTTCGGCCTATCGGGTGATTTCGCTATGATTGATGGCCATTGCTAATATTTCCGATGGACAGTTCGCGTGCTCATGGCGCTGAATATTATAGCGTGCGGCATTGGCACCTCTGGCCTCTGTTACACCTGCTTGTAGCTACATCTATTTTTGCTGACATATATATGTTTTGATGGAATATAGATTAAATATAATTTAAGTATAATATTGGCCGCATATATATATATGTGCCGGTATGTGCGTGTATGTGTGCCATTTGCGTGTACGTGCATGTATGTGCGTGTGTGTGCGTGTACGTGCGTGTGTATGCGTGTATACGTGCGTGTATGTATGTGCGTGTATGTGCGTGTATGTGCGTGTGTGTGCGTGTATACGTGCGTGTATGTGCGTGTATGTATGTGTGTGTATGTGCGTGTATGTGCGTGTGTGTGCGTGTACGTGCGTGTGTGTGCGTGTATGTCCGTGTACGTGCATGTATGTGCGTGTACGTGCGTGTGTGTGCGTGTATACGTGCGTGTATGCGCGTGTAAGATTGCAAATCAGCTCCGTTTTGTGTCGTTGTGTTAATTATGCGTCATTACGTCTTTATTGGCGTCATGCGTCATTAACGTCTTTATTGGCGTCTTCATTTGGCTCGATTGCGCCATTAACGTCTTTATTGGCGTGCTTCATTGGCCGTCATGCGCCATTAACGCTCTTTAATTGGGCGGTCTTCATTGGCCGTCATGCCCGCCATTAACGTCTTATTGGCCGTCTTCATTGGCGTCATGCGCCATTAACGTCTTTAGACTAGTCCCCTGACATAGTGCTAATGGGCGATCTAGAATGCAACTGTAGGACGTTAAATCCGCAATATGCGCATCTACACGCTAATTTCTTCAGTACTAGTCTAGACTAGCAAATACTTCGTGACATGCATAATCACACTACCTTATGCCAAAATAAACTCTAGATTCCTCCCATCATGGCAACGCTTGGATCAGCGAGAAATCGTTGTGTCATGGACTCAGAAACAGAGAGAGCGAAGGAGAGGGGAGAGAGACGAGAGAGAGAGCAGAGAGCGAGAGAGACAGAGAGGAGAGAGGTAGAGAGAGCGAGATAAAACTAAGAGCAGAAGCTGAGTACAGAGAGCAAGACAGCAGGCGAAATGGCGGAAATAGAGAGAGAGAGAGCAGAGAGAGAGAGAGAGAGAGAGAGAGGAGAGAGAGGCCGTCATCATATTAGTAGCGACGTTTATACTCCGCAGTGATGTCACTAGGGAAGATTTGGCTGCTGCTGCTGCATTGCTGTGCTGCTGCCTGGCCTGGTGCTGCTGCCTGCTACTCTTACGCCAGTTAGCAAGCTCCAAAATAAGCCGCTATAAACAGGGATCTCTAAGATACTGCGACAGTGAACCATTAGAGGGGACTGGTCTTGTGACACATTTTCGTCGCTGCACACATGTAATGCCACGGTCATTAGCTGTAAGATGAGGCCAACACAGGGCAGAGTGAATTTATGCGAAATGATGCGGGCAAAAGTGTCAATGTAAGGAAGGTCAAATCGTAACGCGGAGTGTCTACTTAAAGCGCCTTTGGTGTAATCGGAGTAGAATCGCCTCGAAGTCGACTTAGTCATGATCATTGTCATGACAGGTGCAATGTGATATGCACGGAGAATGGGCACGACCGGCGATAGATGACAACATCCAGAGAATGTTATAGTCAAGGCGAATTTCGCCCCTTTCACTATGCGATTCTAAGTAAATTTATGGCAGAGTTGGCCAGATTTGGATGAAAAAATAAAATGGAAGTGCAATAAATGCGAATTGGAGCCCTAAATGATCGTAATGATAATTTTAAGGTCATTCGCATTTATTGCACTTCCATTTTATTTTTTCATCCAAATCAATTTTTTTACCAATCTATTCATGCTCGCCCAACGTTTGCTGAGGTACGACGGACACATTGAGTTTTGCGACCCACAGTAGCTGATTACGATAATATGCACACGCAGACTCCCTTGCAATGCTTTAAAAACCATATCATGCCTTAAAAGCACTACGAGCTAATTTTCCGCTACATGCAAAGTCGCCTCTCCACGCTTCAGGATATCGTATGAATTAATTCAATGTCTACCACATGGGATTTGAAGCTAAGATACTGAGCTATAGCAAATAGGTTCGATTGTCTACTTATTTTGAATTAATTGGCTTAGCGTAACATCACACACCTTCCTCGTATAGGCGAAAACGAAACAGGAGCAGTTCTCGAAATTTGTGTCTGACGCTTTAACGAACGTAATGATAAATACCGTAACGACCTCGAGTACGACGCTCAGTGAGAGATGTTCTTTATTGCTGCCGCAGGCGCGCGCCGGTCTCGAAACATGTGGTCAGGGAAGCTTCCCAGGCTGCCCCACGAGCGCAGACGGATAAGGACCAGTGGCGATTGACCCCCCGGAGACGATCGCAGCGACATGAGACCGACTTTCCAGCACTTTCTTCGACGCATGAAGGACTTCACCGGAATTCTGGCAAGTTCTTGCCCCGGAGCCCAGCACTCCCCGAGATCGCGCGGAGGGCATTCAGGAGAGGCGCGCCGCGGCGGAGAGCATCGGGGAAACGGCGTGGGAGGTTGGCAGCGAGGGAGCGGTGCGAAAGGTACGCCAGCGGCGCGTGGGGCGCGCATGCAACCAGCCGCCCTGCAGCCGCGGCCTGCAGCCCAGAACGCAGAGTTGGTCGCCTGAGGCAACTTTAAACGATGAAGGTGGACGTGGTGGAATGCGCTCCGGGCGCGAACAATTGGCGCGTCGAATCTCGGTGATCGGCCGTCGCCAACGACGAACGACGTCGGCAACCTGGCAGAATTCGTCGAGGCACGCAGGGTATAACGCGGCGGCGACGGTCGATGGAGCGATCAAGGGCGGCGTGCGAGCAACATCAGGAAAATCCTGCGGCATGGTGTGGGAGATGTCTGTCAGGACGAATGCGGCAACACTTGTGGCAAAGACTCCGCGCATGAATGGGCGTTGAACGGAGGCAACTGGTGGCGCGAACGGCACGTGGACGCTTCCAGGAAGCCACCGGAGACGCTCGCGAGTTGAACAGCGGCGAACCTTTGTGGGAGTCCATATGCCATATAAATATAACAATATATACAAAAAATGACGATGGAAAACTTGGATCATATTAATTTAATGAAAAATAAACATTTTAATTCATTTGTATCTATAAGAGAAACACCAATACTAACCTGTGCGAGAGGGACGGCCGGCGGCATGTACCCCGGCGACGGACGTCGCGCATGCAATGCGGCGCGGGCGCGTCGAATGCTCGGCGTAAGTGCGTCAGCGACGATATTCCATCACGACCGCAACACGTACCGACCGGACGTGCTTTGCGCACTTAAGGAGAGGAGGTTAGAAGCGGAGGAGGAAGGCCGAGGCAGAGGCGGAGGCCAAAGCGGACGCGGGATGCGATCTCAGCGGCGGAGACAAGCACTGCCGTCGCTGCTGGGATGGACTCTGCGTGTGAGGTTAACGCAGGGGACAAGGCCGTCGACAGTGAGTCCAGCGACGCCCGGCACGACTTTGACCCGGGGAGGCGGCAGCGTGCGCAGCCGCAAGGCAGGTCCGGAAGAAGGGACGAGGTGGCGGGCAGGGAGCACCGCGGAAAGTCGATGGAAGCGGCGGAGTCGGTTGCGCGGGCAATGTACGTCGGCTGAGAGAGAACGGGGAAGGCGGTCGCCGTCTCTTGATGAGAGGAAGTCTGGTAGTCTCTTTCACGACAGTGTGGACAGGCAGAGGGAGAAAGTGGATGTAGAGAGCAAGAGAGAACGGGGAAAGCGGCCACGGTCTCTTGATGAGAGGGGTGTCAAGCGCGTCTTCTCACGACAGTAGGGACAGGCAGAGAGAGAAGGTGGAGGCTGAGAGTGCAACGAAATCGGAGAATGCCCACAGATAATGCGATCTCACTGTGTCAAAGCCCGAAACTGTAAATACGAGGATACACACGAAGTGTGCAGCAGATGAAACCCCACAACCATCACTACCTGTAGGTTCAAAGTCAGAAACAAAGCAGCATGAGGCTCCGACTCAATTCACCTCAGCGTGTATTCCAAAACTTTACTGGCCAGCAAGTTCCAAGCCGGAAACAAGCAATCTGAGTCGTCATACTAGACGTGAACCAGTCAATGCTCCACAGACCTCACTGCCTACTTGTTTCAGAGGCAAAAACACGACAAGCCAAGGCCCAGTTAAAGTCTACATCAGTCAGTAGCCAACAGGTATCACTGCCTGCTAGATCAGAACCAGCAACAAACCAACCCAAAGCTCAAACCAAGTCTAAATCAGAGACTACCACACAGATATCACAGCCTGCTACTTCCAAACCAGAAACAGAGCAAGCCAAAGCTCTAAATAAGTCCAAATCAGAGAGTACCTCCAAGATATCACTGCCTTCTAGTAACAAAGCCAGAAGCAAAACAACCCAAAGCTCCAATAAGTCTAAACCAGAGACTACCCACAATATCACTGCCTGCTAGTTCAGCCAGAAACAGAGCATGCCAAAGCTTCAACTAAGTCCAAACCAGACACTACCCTACAAAAATCACTGCCTGCTAGTTCAAAGCCAGAAACAGAGCAAGCCAAAACTTTAAACAATTCTAAACCAGGGACTACCCCACAGATATCACAGACTGTGACTTCCAAACCAGAAATAGAGCAAGCCAAAGTTCAAACCAAGTCTAAATCAGAGAGTACCTCACAGATATCACTGCCTGCTAGTTCAAAACCAAGAACAGAGCAAGCCAAAGCTTCAACTAAGTCCAAACCAAACACTACCCCACAAAACTCACTGCCTGCTAGTTCAAAGCCACAAACAGAGCAACCCAAAGCTCCAACTAATGCACAATCAGAGAGCACCACACAGACATCATTACCTTCTAGTACAAAACCAGAAGCAAAGCAAGCCAAAGCTCATAACAAGTCTAAGCCAGAGACTACCTTGCAGATATCACTGACTGCTACTTCCAAACCAAAAACAGAGCAAGCCAAAGCTCTAAATAAGTCCAAACCAGAGGTTACCCCACAGAAACCACTGCCTACTAGTTCAAACCCAGAAACAAAGCAAGCCAAAGCTCCTAACAAGTCCAAACCAGAGTCTACCTCGCATATATCACTGCCTGCTAGTTCAAAACCAAGAACAGAGCAAACCAAAACTTCAACCAAGTCCAAACCAGAGACTACTCGAGATAAATCGCTGCCTGCTAGTTCCAAACGAGAAACAGAGCAAACCAAAGCTCTAAATAAGTCCAAACCAGAGATTACCCCACAGAAATCACTGCCTGCTGGTTCAAAGCCAGAAACAACACAAGCCAAAGCTCATACGTTTAAACCAGAGTCTACCCCACAGGTACCACTGGCCACAACTGCAAAACCAATGACAGCGCAAACAAAACTGCCAACCAAGTCCAAATCAAGTACTGGCCAGACATCGCTGCTTTCTAGTACAAAGCCAGAAACACAGCAACCGAAAGCTCTGAATAAGGGCAAACAAGAGACTACCCCACAGAAATCACTGCCTACTAGTTCAAAGCCAGAAACAAAACAAGCCAAAACTCCTAACAAGTTCATACCAGAGATTACCCCACAGAAATCGCTGCCTGCTAGTTCAAAGCTAGAAACAAAACTGGCCAAAGCTTCTAACAAGTCTAAACCAGAGGCTACCCCACAGAAATCACTGCCTACTAGTTCAAAGCCAGAAACAGAGCAAGCCAAAGCTCCAACTAAATCACAATCAGAGAGTACCTCACAGACATCACAGACGGCTAGTTCAAAACCACAAACAGAACAACCCCAAGCTCCAACAAAGTCAAAATCAGACAGTACAAGACAGGCATCGCTGTCTTCTACTACAAAGCCAGACGTAAAACCTCTCAAAGCTCGGAATAAGTCCAAACCAGAGACCACCCAACAGAAATCACTGTCTGCTACTTCAAAGGCAGAAACAGAGCAAACCAAAGCATCGACGAAGTCCAAACCAGAGAGTACGAAACGTTCTTCACTACCAAACCACTCCAGTTCAAAACCAGAAACCAGTCAACACAAAGCTCCTGTCAAGTCAAAATCAGAAAGTACCCCACAGCCACCACAGCCTGCTACTTCAAAACTGGGAACAAAGCAAGCCAATGAACCAACCAAGTCCAAATCTGAAAGTACATCACAGAACTATGAATTAATTCAATGTCTACACATGGTATTCTGAGCTAAGATACTGAGCTATAGCCAATAGTTTCTATTCTACTTATTTTTGAAATAATTAGTGCTAGCGTAACATCCCACACCTTCCTCGTATATGCGAAAAAACGAAACGGAAGCAGTTCGAAATTTGTTTCTGACGGTTAACGAACGTAATAATAAATAGTAACGACTCAGTACGACGCTCAGTGAGAGATGTTTTCTTATTTGTTGCCCGCAGGCGTGCCGCCGTCTCGAACCATGTGGTCCGGAGCTTCCCAGGTGCCCCACGAGCGCAGACGGAAGGACCAGTGGCATGACCCCCCGGGAGACGATCGCAGCTACATGAGACCGACTTCCCAGCACTCCTTCGACGATGAAGACTTCACCGGGAATTCTGGAAATTTCTTGCCCGAGCCAGCACTCCCCGATCGCGGGCAGGGATTCAGGAGAGGCGGCCGCGGCGGAGGAGCATCGGGGAAACGGCGTGGGAGGTGGCAGCGAGGAGCGTCGAAAGGTGACCGAGGCGGCGCGTGGGGCGGCAGCAACCAGCCGCTGCAGCCGGCCTGGCAGCAGAACCAGAGTTGTCGTGAGGCAAACTTTAACGATGAAGGTGACGTGTGGAATGCGCTCCGGGCCGCGAACAATGGCGCGTCGAATCTCGGTGATCGGCCGTGCAACGACGAACGACGTCGGCAACCCTGGCAGAATCGTCGAGGCACGCAGGGCTATAACCGCGGCGGCGACGGTCGATGGAGCGATCAGGGGGCGTGCGAGAACATCAGGAACAATCTGCTGGGCATGGTGGGAGATGTCTGTCAGGACGAATGGCGGCAACACTTGTGGCAAAACTCCGCCGCAATGAATTCGTTGAACCGAGGCAACTGGATGGGCGAACGGACGTGGGACGCTTCCCAAGGAAACACCGTAGACCTCGGATTGAACAAGCGGGAACTTTTGTGGGAGACCGTGCGAGAGGGCGCGGCGGCATGTAGCCGCGGCGACGGACGTCCGGCATGGCAATGCGGCGGCGGCGCGTCGAATGCTCGGCGTAGTCGTCACGACGATTTCCATCACCGACCGCAACACGTACCCACGGACGTCTCGCCACTTAAGGGAGGAGGTAGAAGCGGAGGAGGAGGCAGAGGCAGAGGCGGAGCCAAAGGCGGAGCCAAAGGCGGACGGGGATGCGACTACAGCGGCGGAGACAAGCAGCTGCCGTCGCTGCTGGATGGACTCTGGATGTGGGTTAACGCAGGGGACAAGGCCGTCGCAGTGAAGTCCAGCGACCCCGGCACGACCTTGACCCGGGGGAGAGGTCGGCACGTGCGCAGCCGCAGCAGGTCCGTAAGAAGGGCGACGAGTGCGGGCAGGGAGCACCGCGGAAAGTCGATGGAAGCGGCGGAGTCGGTTGCCGGGCAATGTACGTCGGCTGAGAGAGAACGGGGAAGGCGGTCGCCGTCTCTTGATGAGAGGAAGTCTGGTAGTCTCTTTCACGACAGTGTGGACAGGCAGAGGGAGAAAGTGGATGTAGAGAGCAAGAGAGAACGGGGAAAGCGGCCACGGTCTCTTGATGAGAGGGTGTCAAGCGGTCTTTCTCACGACAGTAGGGACAGGCAGAGAGAGAAGGTGGAGGCTGAGAGTGCAACGAAATCGGAGAATGCCCCACAGATAATGCGATCTCACTGTTCAAAGCCCGAAACTGTAAATACGAGGATACACACGAAGTGTGCAGCAGATGAAACCCCACAACCATCACTACCTGTAGGTTCAAAGTCAGAAACAAAGCAGCATGAGGCTCCGACTCAATCTACCTCAGCGTGTATTCCAAAAACTTTACTGCCAGCAAGTTCCAAGCCGGAAACCAAGCAATCTGAGTCGTCAACTAGACGTGAACCAGTCAATGCTCCACAGACCTCACTGCCTACTTGTTCAGAGGCAAAAACACGACAAGCCAAGGCCCCAGTTAAGTCTACATCAGTCAGTAGCCAACAGGTATCACTGCCTGCTAGGTCAGAACCAGCAACAAACCAACCCAAAGCTCAAGCCAAGTCTAAATCAGAGACTACCACACAGATATCACAGCCTGCTACTTCAAAACCAAAAACAGTGCAAGCCAAAGCTCAAACCAAGTCTAAATCAGAGAGTACCTCACAGATATCACTGCCTTCTAGTACAAAGCCAGAAGCAAAACAACCCAAAGCTCCAAATAAGTCTAAACCAGAGACTACCCCACAAATATCACTGCCTGCTAGTTCAAAGCCAGAAACAGAGCATGCCAAAGCTTCAACTAAGTCCAAACCAGACACTACCCTACAAAAATCACTGCCTGCTAGTTCAAAGCCAGAAACAGAGCATGCCAAAGCTTCAACTAAGTCCAAACCAGACACTACCCTACAAAAATCACTGCCTGCTAGTTCAAAGCCAGAAACAGAGCATGCCAAAGCTTCAACTAAGTCCAAACCAGACACTACCCTACAAAAATCACTGCCTGCTAGTTCAAAGCCAGAAACAGAGCATGCCAAAGCTTCAACTAAGTCCAAACCAGACACTACCCTACAAAAATCACTGCCTGCTAGTTCAAAGCCAGAAAC